CTATTATGAAGCTAAAATTTTCCAGATATTAAACTGTAAAATTTGTAAACAATTTAAATTCAAGCTTTATATTTATGATAGTTGCAGCAGTAAGTGTAATTTGCACTGATTTTGATTGTCAAACTACAATAACAACACACCATAGCTAGTTTATTTGAATTCATATAATCATTTTCTATTTCTCCAATTGAATATCTTTTTTTTACTATAATATTTTTCAAGTTGATGTTTAGCATCAAAATTTCCTTGTTCAGCTGCTTTTTGGTATAATTCAACTGCCTTAATAACATCTTTTTCTACACCAATTTCATGATAATAACAACTACCAAGATTATTCTGTGCTGCAGCATATCCTTGTTCAGATGCTTTTTGGTATAATTCAACTGCCTTAATAACATCTTTTTCTACACCAATTCCATGACAATAACAACTACCAAGCACATTTTGTGCTGCAGCATATCCTTGTTCAGCTGCTTTTTGGTATAATTCAACTGCCTTTTTATATATAATATCTTTTTCTACACCAATTCCTTTATAATAACAATTGCCAAGATTATGCTGTGCTGCAGCATATCCTTGTTCAGCTCTTTTTGGTATAATTCAACGGCTTTCATAACATCTTTTTCTACACCATTTCCATGATAATAACAATTACCAAGATCATTCTGTGCTGCAGCATATCCTTGTTCAGCTGCTTTTTGGTATAATTCAACTGCCTTTATAACATCTTTTTCTACACCAATTCCTTTATAATGACAATTACCAAGATTACGCTGTGCTTTGACATATCCTTGTTCAGCTGCTTTTTTGTATAATTCAACTGCTTTCATAACATCTTTTTCTACACCAATTCCTTTATAATGACAATAACCAAGATTATGCTGTGCTTTGACATGTCCTTGTTCAGCTGCTTTTTTGTATAATTCGACTGCCCTTATAACATCTTTTTCTACACCAATTCCGTTTTGATAGAAATCTCCAAGAATACAATGTGCTCTAAAAAATCCTTGTTTAGCTGCTTTTTGAAGTAATTCAACTGCTTTCTCAACATTTTTTTCTCTAGCAATTCCATGATGATAACAAAGTAAAAGACCAAGATCAGTTTGTCCAAAAGCATTATTTTTTTCTGCTGACAATTCATACCAGTAGACAGTTTGATTAAGATTCTTTGTAACTGTTATTCCATACTCATAAAAAAAACCAAGCACCCAAAAACACAGTCCACAATCAATGTGATCCTTGAGCCTTTTAATAGGTGGGTAATTTGGTTGATACCATTCATTATGTGTTAACCAGTGTCTGATTGAGTCAGCAATTTGTTCTTGACTTTTGCCTTTTAATAATTCTTCCAAGTATTTACTAGACAATCCATCAGAAAATGGATGGTCTGAAGCTATAGCAAGTTGAACCATCATGCTTAAGCTGTCAAGAATCTGCTCACAAGATGGTCTTTTCTCAGGTACATCATCCCAACATGCTGAATATAGTGTGATATATTCTTCAAGTGTTCCTGAAACTGGAGCATCGCGTCTACCATTTAGCCTGTATATTATAATGTCATTATAATTCTGGAGTCCATCACATGGTCTCTTCCCACCAGAGATTTCCCATAGTACTACTCCAAAACTAAATATATCTGACCTTTTATCCCGCTTAATGGAAGTGTCATATAAGCATCTGGGGTCGAGATATGGAAGAGTTCCTTGAACGTTTGAAACACTTTTTTGTTGCAATATAAGGTCCGACAAGCCAAAGTCTGTTATTTTCGCCACACCGGCATGAACTAATATATTATGAGATGACTAATAACAAAATTGTTAAATTACTTGTTGAATATCAATATCAAAACAATAAAATTATTAAATTGATAGTTACCAAATCTTTATGCAAAATATCAAGCTCATGAAGATATCGTAGTCCATTATGATATTTATACCGAGCTTACATCTCATATGCCAGTCCAGGTCAACAGTTGTGTTTGATAAATAACGCCTCAAAGAACCGCCATCCGCATATTCGAAGACCATAGCGTATTTATTCTCTGAATCTATAATAAAAGACTTTGTTGATGTCACTGTTAATCAGTTACGCCATACCTTCAATCTACTATGCTTACCCTGACTCACACCGAAAAAACGAAACATGTTAAGATGGTCATCAACTTTGCGATGAATCTTTAGCTAGAATATAAATCGTACGATTAAGTGAGCATAATAATAATACCCAAATTTCAAATCGTCATCATAAACGAAACGCTAACCTCTTTGACAAAGTTTTCGAGCATTACATCCTCATTTTGTGAAAGAAAAAGCTTGTATGCGACCGTTCTAGCGAGTGCCTTTGCTTCCGCTTTGAAAACTACTCCATATCCTCCAGCGCCGATGCACACCGGGTCAACAAAGTCCTTGAAAGAATAAAACCGAATGCTACCGTCCTCGATATTTTTTCTTAACCAGTCCCTATCGGATACAATTGAGGCCATAGCTGTTGTCGTTGTAATAAACCTCTGTAATAAAGTCTTTATCGATTTGCATTGTAACAAATACACCTGATTTGTGGCACCAATTTTGACGATCGATTTAGGCACGCACTTTGGTGCTCTCGTACTACAGTCAACTATTGGCGCAGAGTATGGGGTTAAAATTTTTGGTCGATTTATTATGTGACAATTCAAAATTTATTGTCACGGCTGATGCTGAAATCAGCTGATGCTGAAATCCTCGTGACCGATTTTCTGTTACGAGTTCGGAGTGTAGTATTCGATGTTATAGCAATGTATTATTATAGTGCTTTTAAAAAAGCCGCTAGCGGACAGATTAATGTTCAAGTAAAGAGAACAGAGATGGTAATTTGACTCGCAACATTAACCGTTTGTTCTTATCCGGTCAATTTCTAACACGCTTACTTTGGAACTAATTTTGGCGCTAATTCTTTACTGTCGGCAGGTACTCGATAACTTGAATAAAAAATAATGGAAAACGTAACGCAGTACCTTCTCACGATTTAAGAAAAGCAAACCTGACGGAAAAGAGTGTACACTGTATAGGGTTTGATTCTTTTGTTGTGACAGAATTTCCACTAAATGTTGTATCAAACAGGAAAGTTTTTTAAGCCAATACAACTCGTCCTTAACGTCAGTATAAATAATTAAAATTTACACATAATTTTTTCTTCTTCGTTAAAAAGCCGCAAGTTTGCACCGTATAACGCTGAAGGAACAAAATTTTTTAGACAAAGTATTTTGATCTTTAATTATGTCGCTTTTGTAATGAGACATACGCTATGTAACGAAAAACGGTCTTTGCTAACTAAATTTTAATTTTGTTTAACAAATAATAAATGGGCTTATTTTATGTTGATATACTGCGGCCAAGCTTTAACTGCTGCAAACAACTTGTATGTTAATAACTGGCACAAAATAGTAAATAACATATCTCCCCAAAACAGATTAATGCGATTGATTGACTGACAGGCGAAAGATTTCGTAGTGCCGTGCCGTGCCTTGCTTGTAAGAATATGCTACTGCCTTCTACACCTCCTATTCAACATAACACTTACTCTTCCAAGAACAAGTGAATAAAAATAAAGAATTATGATCTCATCTCGTGAATCGCTGATTTCAACTGAACCAATCACTACATCTGGCCTATTGCCACTCAAAACCAATGTTCTGCTATGAAGAAATATATCGCAGATTATATGCAATATTCATCAATTCTCTTTATGAGCAGTGATATGAGATAAACGTTCTGGAACTTTCAAAGTTTTATGTACGTGAATGCGGTTTTGGAAATTAAACGGAGTTTATTATTATAAAAGTACAGTTAACTGCCATTATTGACAGCACAGTAATTGAATTTGTGTACACGGGTATTGGTGAGAGTGATTGTTGTAATGAGGTTGTATTCAAATGAATATGGATAAGATTTGTATAAAGTTTTTGTTGCGTTTTCTTCCAATTAAATACCATAATATGCATGTCAACCAAATCAGGTAATTAATGCTGTTATTTGGAATATGCTGCGCTGCTTTGTAGGAAATACCCTTCTGTCTTTCTGAACAAGCATTTTGCAAGTTTGGGAGCAAAACTAATGAATATACTCGACCGGCTTTTGAGGATTTGTGATCATTATTATTATATTATATTATTGGTCTTTCTAAATGCAAATTGTTGTTTAGCTTACAGTATGCGCGTTCAATTCAACCGTTCATGATTACCGATCCCTGAGCTACGTTATAACCAAGCAGTCTGGGCCTTAGATATCCAAAAACAATTCATCGGCTTGGGGTTCAACTGCAAAAACGTAACCGCTAAATAATAAATGATGTCTAGTTCCGTCATGATTCCTATCTCAGTAACATGGTATTTCATATACAAGATACTGCTCCCGATTAAATATTATAATACTAACAAACAATCTTTTCTCGTCTTACTAACTCTTGCGTCCATTGGATACACCGCTTTCCAAAAAGGGCCCTTGATTAAATCCATCGATGTCGGTATTCAAATCGGGATAGCCATCATTTAGAGCTACGTCCGATGGGTTAGCCTACATCTTGTCAATCGTGATGTCGAGTTGACGTATGCGGTGGCTACTTGGTTAAAGATCAATAAATAGCAAACATAAGATCATAATTCTGTGGGCAGAGTGTAACGACGACGCGCGATTGATCTCTTGCAAATGGCTTTGGTTGTTATGGGACTTTTCAAATTTAGGAATTAGTTAAGATAAGCTTGCTTGCTTATGTCAATTAGAACATAGATGATTTGGATGTAATTTGCGTAAGATTGCGAGAATCGGGAAAGGCTAGTGTGCCTGGTTGAGTCACAATTTTTATATTTTGACGAGCAAAAAAATATCGCCCTCAGACGTTGAAACTGGTCATAAAGTCGTCGCTTCAGGCCCCCAGCTGGTATGCTTTCGTTGACAATATCATACGATTATAGTTGCAAGTTATGACAACAATTCTGTTACTTGTTAGTGACTTTACCACGATTTTTATTCCTTGTTTTTTGTTATAGATTCAGCAATGTGATAACCGCCAATGCTGAGAAACCTGGTTATGTGTGTTGCAATATGAGACAATCCTGGTATCTGTATATGAAAAGGCAATCGTAAGTAGTGAACATGTACGTTAGTAACTTGCTTGTGTATGATTAATATATTCAACCCTCGCATTACCTGGAAGATTAAAACCGTATTTCAGACAATGCAAGTGTTAATACTGTCAGTCGCTGTGGACTAAAGATCTGAGATATCAATGCAAGAGCTAGACGTGCGCTGCCAACCGCTGAAGATTAAATATCTATCAATGTAATGTTCATGAAGAGCGAGCAATAATATAAATAGATCACTTACCACAATCCTCTCTTGCGTATGCTTCAGAAAGCACAATTTCAAACTGCGGAATAATAGCGACTATTATTCCTTTGCCCATTTAACGACTACCTATCTTCTGCATCAACTTGAATGAAGACGTGCGAGATTCGGCAATACTGGATTTTCTTTTCCGGTGAATCTGATCCCATATAGCATAAAAAATTCTGGGGACGCAGGACAGTTCCTTTCCTAAGGTAAAGTATGGGTTATCGGATCAACTCATCGGAATCTTCTATTTACTTCTTCATCCACCGTTGGCAGGCGGTCTGACATGCATAAAAGGGAGGCAGTTAGTTTAACGATGTTACGGGTATCAGAAAATAATACTTGCAAAGTGGGGTGAGGAGGACGGTAAATCAGAAGACTACGGCGTTGTTTATATCGATACTTACGGTTTAATGTGATGCTTTACGGGCTCAAAACAGTGACTGAGGCTGCAACCACTCAGGGTGGAGGTGAAGACGGCTAGGAACGAGGTATTTGAGAGAGCCACATCACAGGCCCATCCGGCATCGTTACAATCATGTGATAACAAGGCTTTTAAATTTACGGGATGTTGTACACGTACGACCAATACCTCTGACATCATTCAAATCCGCATTAGTACCCTAGCCATGGCGAAAAAAATGATTCGGACCATGTGAAAATGTTCGGATCACGTGGAAATGTTCGGGTCGGAGCATCCGAAATAACTCAGCCAACGGCAC